TAATACGTTATTACTTAGTTGTAATAAACAAAACCCGCGTAATACCATAATTGAAAATCTTATCAAAATAAGTCGAAAAAAGTCGGAAAAAGTCATATAATCTGAGGCCTGAAATTGCGAAAGCAGCCATCAAGAAAATGAGTATTACTATTGTGAAACCAAGATTTATAATAGATCTTACTTAGTTATTACTTTGCAATTAAATAGAAAGAGCTAGTAGAATATTTAAATGACACTTTCATTCTGATTCCTATGCGCAGGTACTTTAAACCTAAAGGTTAGAAATAAGATTTAAAATTATGTCATAAACATTTTATGTAAAAATCAAATTTTGTTTTCTTATTAATTATCATTTTTTTTATTCTTTCTTTATTCTTAATTATCGATAATTATAATTATCAATATATTTCAAATTATTTAATAATTATTAAATATTCATAATTTGTTATAAACTCGCAAATTATGTATCATTTGTATCTACCTTTACGTTTTTCTCAAGATTAAACTGGATAAATTATTAAAAATGTTTACATTATATACATTATGAAGTTTTAAAAATTTACATAAAAGAGCTTTCATTCTTAGGGATATATACTACTATCCAAACTTCTATTTTCTTATCCTCTTTCAACAAAACCACAGTCTCCACATCGTAACTCGGCCATTTAGCGCAACTTCATTGCAGATGCATTCTGAATAAGACATTCTGACATTCGAGGTTTTCCAAAGGATTTATTCCGAAAACCGACAGCATAGAAAATACTTAATGTGCACCCTCAAAGTGTTTTGTTCAACTCAGTCCTCTAACTCTCTACATGTTTAATAAACATTACTATTTTAAGACTTGAAAGAATATAGACTCTAATGGAAGAGAACTTTCAACTCTCTTATCACTTATAGGTCCATTAATGATCAGAATATCAATTTTCATTTATAAAAAATCATTTTTAATAAACTTTTTAACACGTCTACGACAATAAATTTAATATTATGAACATACAACATTTATAAAAATTTATATAATTAAGAACATATGAATATGTTTAGCTTAAAACATCAATCACGTATATTAAATTATTGAATCTCTTGAAACTATACTTTTTTCATTTTTTAAATACTTTTATGTTACCGAAAAATATTTTATATTTTGCGAAAAGCAGAGGTAAAATTAACGTTCAGCAGAGCACAATAACTTTTAACAGATTATCTTTTACTGAAATCCCGGATGTAGAGGCTGTTTTAATCGATTCTGGACTATACAAAACTAAATTCATAAACCATACTCATATTTTGTACTAAGTGTTCAAAGAACAAACTTTTAGTATATATATATAATTAAAAAGTTTTTTTTTTCAAAACAAAAATTATATAAATAAATTTCAGTAGAAACAGTTTTTAATTTCCTTTATATTAAATGTGAAAGCGTAAATTTTTTAAAATAAACTTTTATAGATATATATACAATTTTCAAAGAAGAAATAAGCAAATTGTCAAATAATAAGAATGAAATAGTCGAAAACTTTGGAGAAGTTTTAAATTAATAATAAAAAAATCATAAGAAGTTTCGCACTACCAAATTATTTAAAAGCCTAAACTTAGTGCTTTCAAATGAAAGCCTTCGCGTGAAAGTTATTGTAATGTCTCAAACTTCTTCAAGATGATATTTATAAGATGAGTTATTTAACATATAAAAAAGTTTAATGATAATATATAACTTTAAGATAATTTAAAATGAAAGTTATAACAGTATTTTATTGCAAAATTATCTTTAGATTTTAATAATTTGATATTAAAGAAAATATTAAATGCAATATTTCTGCAATACACCCTTTTTAATTCAAAACAATTTATAGTTGATTTTTTTTCTGTAATTTTCAATAAATTCTTCAGCAAAATACTAAAAATTCACTTGAAGTTGAATTATTTTCAAAAATCTGAATTGTAAATTTTCGAAAATTTAATAATTTTTTTTAAAAAAAGGGTAAAATTAATTGATGAATTATTTTCAATTCTGTAAAATTTAATTAGTTTCTGTAATTAAACAAAATCGTTTGAAATTTAATTATTTTTAAAAGTTTCAACCGTAACTCCTTCAAAATTCAATTATTTTTGATGATTTTTATAATATTCTTCAAAAATTTAATTATCAGAAAACCTTTCTCAACTAAAAATTTTTATAGTTAAATATTTTTGTCTGTAATTACTAATAAATCCTTCAGTAACAGAAATCACCAAAAATTTCAATAAAAAATTACTTGAAAATCAACACTCAGAGAAATGGTATATTTGTCTCCGAGCCTACTACCTAACTCATTTATTTGTTGCAAATATATTTCATTTCATTGAAATAAAAAATTTATTTGAGCCAAAGAAAAATTTATTTCTGACAAATAAAATTTTTATTTACGCCAAATAAATAAGTTAGTAGGCTCTGAGACAAATATACGTTTATTTAATTCAAATATATTTTATTTGGTTCAAATAAATCATTTCTCTGGGTGAATTATTTTCAAAAATCTGAATTGTAAATTTTCAAAAATTTAATTATTTTTTAAAAAAAGGTTATCTACAGTTATTTTATAAATTATTTTCAATCCTATAAAACTTAATTATTTGAAATTTAAGAAAATCTTTTGAAATTCAATTGTTTTTAAAAATTTCAACAGCAACTCTTTCAAAATTCAATTATTTTTAATAATTTTATCATTTTTGTTAAAAAAATTTAGTTTTTTAAAAAATTTTCAAATAAAAACTCTAAAATTGAATTGTTGTCAGAAATTTAAAAAAAAAAACTACAGCAACTTTTGTATAGAAAATTTATTTCAAATTTAAAATCTTCTGCAATTCAAGTATTTAAAAAAAAAATTAATTTAAAAAATTTGTAAAACTTAATTATTGTTTGAAATTTTTTAAACCATTAAAATTAAAAATTATGCAAAATTTTTAAATTCAAATAAATTTTCAAAATGGAACTCTAAGAATTTTTTTTAGAAATTTGTCCTACTTAATTAAATTTTTCTTACTTCGATTGTGAAATATTCGAAATAAATTTTCTTGATAACATTCTTATAGAATTATTCTTATTAAGGAATTAATATTAATAAAATGAATTTAATATTTAATAACATTAGTTATTTAAATTAAAAATTTATTAACAAATTAAATTAAGATAAAACAAGTTGTAAATTCAGATGTTCATTACATGAACATTTTGCTTCCTCGTGGAGAAAGCAAAATTTTATTGCCAAAATGTGATTTTGATTTTTTAACTTTAATTAATTAAATTTACCTCAAATGTATACTTTATATATCTATCGATCGATTCGTCTTGACGTAAGAAATACGATTTTATTATATATAACCTTAAATTTTTCTATTTAAAAATTTTTTCGTTTAAAAAAAAATTTTTGAAAAAAGACGATAAAATTTTTTTTTGGGGGTATTTTTCAAAATCTTTTGGTCAGATTTGAGATATTAATATGATAAATGAGCCTACCAAATTTTATCTAAATCCATTAAAACCTGTTAAAGTTATCTTCTAAAGAAAAAAGGGATCCACACACACACACATACATCCGGACAATTGATCAGGATCTCATATAACATGTTTCTATAAAGAAAAAAATTTGTTTCCGCCACTTTAAAAAGTTTTATAAACGAAAGGACTATAAAGCTTCCTCCACGAGGAAGCAATAAAAAAATTGACATTTTCGACTTTTTTTTGAAATGTAAATCGAAGAATACAATTCTTTTTGCGTTAACAATGTACTCTCTAAATTTGAATCAATGAAAAGTGAGTTACTAATTCACAATAGTAAGAATTTTTACTAATTTTGCTTCCTCGTGGAGGAAGCTTTTGTAGTCCTTTCGTTTATAAAAATTTTCAAAGTGTCGGAAACAAATTTTTCTCTATATAGAAACATGTTATATGAGATCCTGATCAAATGTCCGGATGTATGTATGTGTGTATGTGTGTGTATGTGGCTCCCTTTTTTGTTTAGACGATAACTTTAACAGGTTTTAATGGATTTAGATAAAATTTGGTAGGCTCATTTATCATATTAATATCTCAAATCTGACCAAAGGATTTTAAAAAATACAAAAAAAAAATTTATCGTCTTTTTTCCAAAAAGTTTTTTTTAATCGAAAAAATTTTTAAATAGAAAAATTTAAGGTTATATATAATAAAATCGTATTCCTTACGTCAAGACAAATCGATCGGTAAATATAAAGTATAGTTTTAACTTAAATTTAATGAATTAATGAAAGTTAAAAAATCAAAAATTCACATTTTGGCTATAAAATTTTGTGATTATTCAAAAATTAAAGTTTACAGATGAAATAATTGTATTCCTTCCATGAAAACGAATCGATTGGTATATATAAAATTTACATTTGAGGTAAATTTAATAAATTAATGAAAGTTAAAAAATAGAAAATACACATTATAGCTGAAAAATTTTGTATTCATTTAAATTCAAGTTTAAATATAAAATAATTGTGTTCCTTGCATAAAAACGAATCGATATAATTGTAAATAATTATAAATTATATATTATTTTTCATTAATATTTAGAAATTTCGGTTAAAATATGAATTTTTGATTTTTTAATTTCCATTAATTCTTTAAATTTTACTCAAATGTATATAGGTACTCAAATGTTTATATTATTATATTATTTTTGTTTGTTTATTTCAATGTTAATGCTCTTTCCACGAGGAAGCAAATTTTTTTGCTGATCGTAAAGAGGAAGCAAAATGTTCATTTAATGAACATCTGAATTTACAACTTGTTTAGTAAAATATTACTATTTAATTTAGTAGTTTTTATTTATTTTTTACTAAAAAGTGACTAAAAATTAGTGAAAATTCTTACTAATTTAAATTAGTAAAAATTTTTACTAATTCAGATTATAAAGAGAAAAAATTTCTCTAAAAAAAAATTATTATTTATATTATATTAAAGAATATGTATATATGGAATTATTTGTGTTTTACAGAAACAAGGAGAAAAGAATATCACTGCAGTGCACGAAAGGTTTCCAGTAGTCTCAGTCTTTTCTGTCAGACAGTATATAATATAAACCATACACTATACAAGGGAAGGCATTAAATAAGTAAGTAAACCTTTTATATTTTTAGAATACACTTGAAAATATTTACATCTTAAATTCAGTTTTAAAGTGCAATGTAAATATTTTTTACAATATTTCAATAAATTTGAAAAAGGTTAAAAATAAAATGAAATATATATCCAATATATAGTCACTTTTCTCCCCTTTCTCTATTTGAGTCATATATTTTTTTCTTTTTGATATTGCTCTGGACAATTAACCCCCTAGCAATTCACCATGCACACTTTGTAATTCTCATATATATATATATATACCTTTTTTTCATTGTATCGGCTTGATGGAAAATCAGTTCCATATGTATATATTTCTATGCGTTCAATTGTTACTGTGCGTTCTAGACAGTATAGAAAAGAATACTGTTATAACTGGCGTGAAAGAGTAAAAGCAGGACAGAGAATTGGTTTGCAGAAATGAGAAAACTGCGCGATATTGAGGGTGAAACGAGACAGGAAGGGAGGGGAGGGAGGGAACTATAAAAATAGGTCAGTATACACGTTTTTCTCGCTTCCACATGATGCAGGATGCGACATTCTGTTTTTCCAAATAACTAGTGGATATAAACTAAAAAAAGCAAGCTGAGAATTGTGGTTGATTGAATTCATGCACGTCAGGAATTTTTTTTTTTTTTTTTAATACCTTGTTTTTATATGAAAAATAAAATACCCTTTTGCTTAAAGCTATATATGGGCGCAGACAATTTTTATTCAGTTAAACAAATATAAATATAATAATTATTTTTCTTTAACATTTTCCATTTTGCAATTCTAATTTAATATACAGGGTGATTTTTAGGGGGTTCGGAACATAAAAATTACTATAAATTCAAGGTACGTCTATAGTGGGTAATAATTTTTTTTTTTTTTTATTGTAACAGAATAGTTATTCTGTTTATTGACTTTCGGTTTATTTTCACGAACATTTTAGATTATATATAAGAATAGCAATATTTACAAAGAAAATCCGTAAACTGATATAGCAAGTAATTTCTTTTCTTGTGTATAAAATCAAGTTTTTGTATTTGAGAAAGAAATATATTTTTTTGAGATTGATACAGCTTCAACGAACGAGATGTAAACAGTTTATCGATATAGAAGGGTAGAAGGCAAACCGATGGTTCTCGCGTGAAGCCGTATATGTTTAAGAAAAAAAGAAACTAAACTTATACTTATAAGACTGGTGTCAAAATGAAAAAAATAGCGCTTAAAGATGTTTTTTTATTTATAATTGTAATTTTATAAATTTCTCGAAATTCGAAACGGTATCAATTTTTTAATAAAACTAATATAAAGTAAACAAAATCGACATTAAACTTACAAAGAAGCAATTTTTATTATTCTATTATCGTTGCATCCAGATCACTTATTTTGTGTGAAAAAATGAAAAATTATATATATCTACCGAAACAAAATAGCCTTTGAGTTATATATGATATTTTTTATCGAATTATGTGCCTTGTTGCCTGTTTCACAATGAATACAAGAGAGGCACACAAGTTAAAGGAAAAAGGGGAAGTAAAGATAAAAAAAAAAAAAACAAAATAGAGAGAAAGAAAAAAAGGGGGAAAAAACATAAAAGAAGTGAACTTTTTGTGTGTTTACACCTATAAAAGAAATAAAATTATGAAATTAAAAAATCTAAAATATTTTTCTCTTTACACCCATTGCTTCATATTTCAGTCCCTCTTTGCGCTAGATAAAGTGCTGGAGAAAAAAAGTTTGAAGGAAAGGGGAAGGAAATTCATGTTATAAATTTAAATAGAGAGAGAGAGAGAGAGAGAGAGAGAGAGAGAGAGAGAGAGAGAGAGAGAGAGAGAGAGAGAGAGAGAGAGAGAGAGAGAGAGAGAGAGAGAGAGAGAGAGAGAGAGAGAGAGAGAGAGAGAGAGAGAGAGAGAGAGAGAGAGAGAGAGAGAGAGAGAGAGAGAGAGAGAGAGAGAGAGAGAGAGAGAGAGAGAGAGAGAGAGAGAGAGAGAGAGAGAGAGAGAGAGAGAGAGAGAGAGAGAATTTTTTTTATGGATTTAATTTTTTTTTATTATATAGCAAATAAAAAATATCTTTGACCCTTAAATACATGAATAAGGAAATAATAATAGAATAGTGTATATAACTCGAAATATTCTATTCGCGTTCGTGCTTCAACGAGGAAACGCGTTGGGTATACACGGCTTCTGCGGATTATATTGAAGAACACTATATATATACGCTCTGATAGATATACCACCCAGTAATCTCTACGAAACGACGCTTTGCTTTGGAAACTACATATATGATAATAACTGTGCTTGATATCTAAAGATTGTTACTTTGTCTCAAGAAATACTGTGTGCGAAAATCGATAAATTCTGATTAGAGAAATTAATATATTATCATTTTATTCGCATCCATAAACTATCTAATCTTTTGCAACTAGAATCTCTTTTTTTATAATTTAATAGCCATATGGCTTTTTTAACGAGGAATTGTATTAACATAATCTAAAAACTGAAAAATTGTTTTTTTATAACAATTTAACGCAATCAAAATTATGATTAAAATTAATTGTAACCAATTTTAAAAGTTATGCATTTTACAAAAAAACAATGTTGATTTAAAATTTGTTTTTAAATAATCATCTTTTTTAACATTTTTTAATTTTTTTACTTTTAGCTCAGACAAAAATCAAAGTTTTTATCTAATTTTAATAAACTTATTTTATTAAGTGAAACCTACTACTCTACAATCGCTTATATTTTAATGATAGAACGTCCAACAGCCTTCCGGCAGGATGAAAAAGACTCACGTGAGTCCCTCCGAAATCGCTTTATAAAATTAACATGGATTCAGATAATCCAAAAGTAAAATATATCGTTGGAAAGGTAAAAACACAAGTTTTTAGCGCATGTAAACATAAAGTTTGTAAATTAAAATCCCTAGGCTAGGGAATTCAAAGAAAAAGGACGTTTTTATAGGGTTTTTTTGACGAATCCAAAAAAATATTTAAACTGAATTTTTTTTAAAATATACTATCACATTTTATTCTTTGAAGGCTTCAGAAAAAAATGAGAGTAGTTAGACCGAAAAATATTGGTTTTTGTAGATTTTACAGTGAATTTACGAAAAACTGTTTTTTTGGCTTGTTGCAAACACAGAAAATTATAAGGTATTAAAATAAGCTGCAACGCTTATTATTGTAATCAAATTTTGCTTATTTTAATACCAAAATGGATTAAAATAAGCAAAATTGAATTAAAATAATAACCGTTGCAGCTTATTTTAATGCCTTTTAATTTTCTGTGAACATGCAAAGTTTGAAGGCTTTGAAACATGGTTTAATATTATTTTTTTTAATGTCTAACGCATGAATTTTTTCGTTTTTACGTCTACTTTAATAAGAAAGGGTGACAGAAAAAAATTTTGAGTTCCCTTTTTACCACCCTCATATATATAGGGCCATCCAAAAAAGCCTTCCGGCAGGACGGGCGCTTGGACGTTCTATCATTAATATTGTTAATAGTACGTTGTAAAAAAAATATTTACTAAATAAAATTTCAATTATTGTTTAAACTTTTTTAACAACTTACTTTTAACTTTTACTTTTTTAGAAAAATATAAGCGATTGCAGAGTAGGTTTCACTAAATAAAATAAGCCCTTGTGTATTAAAATTAGATAAAAATTGTGATTTTTGTCTGAGCTGAAAGAAAAAAACATTAAAATGTTAAAAATAATAATTGTTTAAAAAAAGATTTTGAATCAATATCGTCTTTCTACAAAATGTATGACAAGATCTTCTAAAATGCATATTGATTATCCCATATAAAAACCATTAGTTAGAATTTTTATTTTTCGAATTAGCATTTAACAGAAATTCTTTTTAAACAAATTTTTACTTAACATATATATTTCTTTGTTAAAATTTTTATTTAAAAGAATTCTTATTTAACCGAAGTTTGAATTTACCTAATATAATTATCATTCAACGGAATTTGAAGTGATTCGAATTTTTAAATTCAAAATTAAATTTAGAAATTCCAATTAACTGAATCTTCATTTGTTCGAATTTTTATTTCCACCAGTTGTTATTTGATAGAATTCTTAAGAAGGCCGAAATTTTATTTGTCCGAAATTGTAAATGACCGAATAGATAATCAGTAGAAAAATTTCAGTGCGAATTTTAAAATTCGACCCCAATCAGAAAATAAAAAGAAAATCGTGATTGGTAAATTTTAAAAATTGCGCCGAAATTTGAACAATTTGGCGTTTTAAGAATATTCTATCAAATAACAATTTTTACATACAAATATTCGGACAAATGAAGATTCGGTGAATGATTTTGAAATTGTAGCATTTAAAAAAATTCGATTCATTTAAAATTCTGTTGAATGATACAATTATGTTAAATTAAAATTCGGTTAAATTAAAATTCTTTTAAATAAGAATCTTATGTAAAGATAAATTCTTTAAAATAAGAATTCTGACAAATAGAAATTCTGTAAAGTAAAAATATGTTTAAAAAAAATCCGTTAAATAATAATTCAAAATTTGAAAATGTTTTTGAAAAATAGTGCTTTAATAGAATTCTTTCAAATGAAAATTCTATAAATTATGATTTTTATAGGATAATCATGCCTCATTTTTTTCAATGTATATAGATTCAAATTTAAATTTAAAATTTTTTTACTTTAATTGAAATCCTTTTTGAATCAATAATTTTTTTTTTTTTTACTATATCGTACCGCAAACACAACGTATACATATACCCTCAATAGAAACCGCAAATAGCTCTTGTCCTTTTTAATAGTGTAACGTTGGTGAAAACCAATTATTCATTTTAAACAGCAGACGAATTTAATTACTCGGTAATTTCCGTCCTTAACTATTATTTGTCTCTACAATCAATTATTATTTTTATAATTAGATTTTGTTATATCAAACGAAAAAAAAATAATAATAATTGGACGCGAAATAGAAAAATAATTCTTTTTTTTATTTATATATATATATATATA